TTTACTGTATTTTTCTGAGTGGAGCCCACAGGTTATTTGGAAGAACAACTTTTGATTTGGCAGTACTTGGCATTGTTTTTATATACACAAATACACATAGCTGCATAGGCAGGTAAGGCAAGAGGAGCTCAGTGCAGCAGGTCCTCTCTTCCAGCAGGCATCAGATACAGCCCCTGGCAGCCCTTGATTCCTCACATGCTCCACTGACACTTCTCTGCTTGATTTTTTGGGGATCCTTAAAAGTTTGGGTTCTTTGAGGCTCTCTTTTCAAAGAATGGGTGCAACTTATGTCTATTCTGTGCTCTCAGTGATGATACAGATTTAAATATTTGACTGGACTCAAGAATCAATCCCTGTGGAAAACCCTGTGAGCTTCACCTCTAGAATGGAAAATGTAACCAAGGGAAACCAGCCTTTTCTTGTGGCAGTGTGAAAATCAGTGCTCTGGTTCTGCTTTGCTTTCTGCAAAGCATAGAGATGGCTGTTGGAGGAACTTTCTCCAGAGAAAAGGCAAATGCAGTGTTCAGCCAGGGGTGTGAGGAACACCACGACCCAGGTCCCCTGAGAGTGTAATTGCAGCAGGTTTTGTGGTTAGCAGTGGAAAAAAGGAAGAAAGGGTTTTGTTTTTTTTTTTAAAAAAAAGGATTTCAAAGAGTTTTGCAAGTGCTTCAGCATACTGGGCAGTGAGCTTAGCACAGAAGTCAGAACTAGGAGTCTGGATTTCTGGAGGCAAAATGTGAATTCATGGTAAGGCAGGGACTTGTCCCTCAGAACAGGTTAATGTGGTAACACAGGAGCAGTGCTTCCCCTCGGCTGGAGATGGAGCTCCTCAGCAAATCAGCTGCCTCACACAGAAGTACAAGCAGAAACCAGACACAGAGGTGAACTGCCTGAGGGTCTCACATATTTCAAAGCAGAGAAATGTAATGATATCTTAAAGAGGTATAGACAAGCCAAGGAATACCTGTGGCATCTAGAGAACAAGTCTGGTGGGGAGCAGCTGAGGGAGCTGGGGGGGCTCAGCCTGGACAAAAGGAGGCTCAGGGGGGACCTTCTGGCTCTGCAACCCCCTGACAGGAGGGGGGAGCCGGGGGGGTCGGGCTCTGCTCCCAGGGAACAAGGGACAGGAGGAGAAGAACTGGCCTCTAGTGACACCAGGGGAGATTTAGATTGGATATTAGGAAAAATTCCTCCACTAAAAGCATTGGAAAATAAGTATTATATATTATTTATGTTATTGTCCTCACTACACAGGGTGACATAGTTTTACCTTAGACAATATTAAATATGAAACATGAAAGAAGAAACAGGACAAGAGAACAAATCAGTGCATTAATTACAGAGCTTTAGAAGATCTGGGCCATGGTCAGACTATCACTGTGACATCCAAAAACTTGCTGCCTCTCACTCCGAGGCTGTTTGCTTACACAGATCAGCAGGTGGAAAGGATGGCCACAGATCCTGTTTACAGTAAGGGCAAAGTGTGCAGGAAAAAATAAGTCTTATAATTGCTTTCTAAAGGAGGTCAGCAAACCATGAAGATAGCCAGGCAGATTTGGGATGTGTAATGACATCTGTGCTCAGTTAACAAACCAGCAAATCCAAACAGAGGTGAGCTGATGGAAGGGCTTTGCCTGGCCTGTGACACGGGGCATTCTCTGCAGATGGAGCCTGTGTTCGGGTCACAGGTTATGAACCAAAGAGGATGAGCAGCATCAGCAGCACATCAGGCTGGAGGGCACCAGCAATTGCTGCCACAGATGTGCCTGCAGGCAAGACAACACAGGTGCTCAAGGATGCCCAGCACATGGGATTCAGCAGCAGTGGGAACCTCCATGTTTGTTTATTATCAGTGATCCTCCTGTTCAAATGGAGACACATTTTCTCCTGGTTTATTTTTTTTGTGCAAAATGCTTGCCTAGCTGAAATTAATTTTGTTGGGAAAAGATTGGGGTGAACTTCCTTAAATAAACTCACCCCATCTGCCAACTGCAGAGCCTGAACCTTCGGTACCCAAGAGGACCAAGTGCTGGTATGTGAGAGGCCTCTGTTTTCAGGTCGTTTACTGAGCAACACCACTGTGCTCCTGACATCCTACAGAGAGCACCTCACAGGACAGAGGGCACTGCTGCATTGATCCAGGACTGATTCCCAATCTGCAGTTATCCCCATGTCAAATCTTAGTGGCTCCATCCAGCTCATTTGGATTTAGACTGGTAAAAGATATCAAAAAGCAGCAGCTTAATTTCTGCATTTCCTGACTTTTCAGTGCATCTAAAAATTGTAACCTTCCTGTTACTGTAAGGTATGTTTTTATACTTAATATTCAGCTATAAATTGTGATGGATGCCAGACCACCAATCTGGATCCACTAGTCTGCCAAAAGGGAGAGTGGAACAGCATGTTGATGCAAATGCTGCAGTGTCTCCTAAATCCGTGGTGCTTGAAAACATCCAGAATTATTACATGTGGCTCCTTCAAATGTGTCCTGGGCTAAATGCTTTTGGGTATTGACTGATTTCATTGAGCCATGTGTGTGAATTCCAGGGACCAGGCCTGGATCTCAAGCTTTGTCTCTGGATTTCTGTTTGTCACTGCTGGCCTTGCTTGGGTCTGGCAGAGCTGTCCCTCCCTTGTACCCCCCGTGAAAGGCACAAGACAGCAGAGAACCACACACAGGCAGCTCCAAATGGCAGCAACACCTTGTGGAAGGTGGCCTCATACAGCATTTCTGGGGCAAGTCCTGGGAGCAATGAGACAAGATCATTGGGAATTGGATAAGCATGTAGCCTGACTTCAGGCTCTGAGTAACTTTCCTGTTGCACAGTTTCCACTCGCATTTGTCCTTGAGTTTGGTGGAGACAAATACTCAGGTTTCCCATTTTAGCATTTGTCACAACACAAAAATGTGAAGCTCTCGAGGACTGAATCTGCAAAGAGCTGCAAACCTCTCATGCTTTTGTCCAGTAGAACATTTCAAGGTTTTCCCCTAACTCTTTTTTTCCTTCTGCCCATTTCAAATGACTGCATCCTTACACTCCTGCTGTAGCACAAACCCACCTGCTGGATCATCCTGTTCATTTAATGGGAGAGGAGTGAAATAGTCCCTGCAGGGTGGTCATTTCAGGACCATTTAGGACGTTGACATAACAAACTGGAGTTTTTGTTTGTTATTTTTTCAATTTTGTTTAATGTTGTGGTACTGTTGTGTCTCTCTGTGCAGTTTCTGCCTCAGCAGAGCTGTCAGCATGCACAGTATTCACTTCCCAAGCATTTGAGAGGCTTGATTTTGAAGCTGCATGGAAAGGCACTGCCACATGGAGGGCAGGGCTTGCCCATCCCACCTTTTTTCCTGCTGTTCACAGGATGCATCCGAGCAGGAAGGAGAAAGTTACTGATGGCTTTGGATGCAGTGATGTGTGAAGGGATGCCACAGTGGGGCATAGCACAGCAGAGAGGACATCACTGGCAATCCCACCTCCAGAGCAGAGCAGACTCTACTAGAGCAGGGCAAGAGAGTGTAGAATGCTGAAAAACCATTGCTAAATGGAACCAGCAGCCTTTGCTCTCAGAGCTTGGTGATGACAGCAGGAGCTGTTCCCAGGGTGGGTTCCAGACTGCCAGCACTGAGTGATTCCAACGCTCTGTGTTTCCGTGGCTGTCAGTCAGAGCAGGGCCTGCAAGAATGGGATGGGTTGTTAGCAAAATGCTTTCAATGGGACCCTAAAGGGAGGGCAATTTTAGCCAGGCTTTTCTGTTTCAATACATCATCTGCCAAGCCCAGTCATTTTAATAAGGTACAGGAGAGTAGCCAAGAAAGCTAAAAAAAAAAAAAAAAATAAAAAATATATAAATCTATATAAATGTAAGTACATATAAATTGTAGGGGGAAGGATGCTTAAAAAGTGTATTCATCAAATATGGCAAGGAAAGTGAGTGTGGTGAGAAGTTTGCAATTTCCCTGCATGCTGAAGATATTAGTTAGTGTTTGAACAGGACAAAGCTGTAATGTCAGCCCTGCCTTAGCACGAGGTGCTGACAGCCTGCATAAGCAAACGTTTCTGTCTCCCACCAGATCTCAGTGTGCTCACAGGGAATGGCTGCAGGACTCTGGGATGGCACTGGTGTGCTGCCTGCCTGTGAAACACAACCCCCAGCACACAGGGCAGGAGTAGAACCTTCTCCCTTACACTGTGTATTTCCTTCTGAACCAAAGGCTCTGTCAGCTCACTCTGAGGAGTGAGGCTCCCCACGAGGCTCCCTGTGCCTGCTGCCCTTGGCTCCCCGTGGTTGGGACATTTGGGTACATCCTTCTGGATGGGAGCAGCTGGGAGTGAGAACTGGTTTAGGAGCTGACCTGGAGCCTTTGGAGTCAACGGCAGAGCTTGTGTTGACTTCCTTTTGTAGGTCTGAACCTGTAACCCTGTTCTGTTCAGCCACATCATGTCAAGGCACCGATGACACCTCGTGGCCCAGATGTGCCTCCCCAGGGTCCTGTCCCACACTCTGCCTGGAGTCCAGGAGCCTGATTTCAGCTTCAGTCCCTGCCTGAAGGGGGCTGGAAGGGGGCTGGTCTCCAGAATGGTTTCTGCTGTCCTGAATGAAATGAGGTTTTCAACACAGTCCCAGGAGTTGTATGGCATCCCCAGGTGTGCTTGTGTACTCCTGGGGGCCATGTGTGTGCTGGCTTATCCAGGGAAATCTCCTGTGGAAAAGCAGTGTCGCAGCCTACTTATTGAATATGTCTCTGAATAAAAGGAAAAAAATATTGCTAATTTCAGAATATAAAGGGTTTTTTCTGCCATTAGCAGCATTTTAGTGCTAATTCTATATCCTCTTCAAGGTATTTCGATGTGCAAGTTGTATTTTATCCTTATTTTGCCAGCTTTACTGAGAGACCCAACAGATAAAATGCTGCACTGAACACAAAGGGCAGCGTAGCTCATCCAGGCTTGGCTGACTCTCCTGTTAATCCCAGCAACCCATTCCTGTCCCCACAGGTGTCGTTCGCCAGGTGAGGCCCATCGTTGGCCCCTTCCATGCCATCCTGAAGCTGGAGATGAACTACGTGATGGGGGGGGTGGTGTCCCACCGCAACATCGTCAACGTGCACATCTTCGTGTCCGAGTACTGGTTCTGAGGGGGCCCTGCACCCCCAGGGCCAGGCCTGCAGCAGCACCACCAGCTACTATGTCATATACTTGTTTGTAAAACCCAATAGTGTTCTTCTGTTTGTTTGGTTTTTAAATATTTGGTTTATAGTTTAAGACAAATAGCAAGCTATTGCGTTGGTTAGGCGTAGGGTGGAGCGGATTAAGGGAGCCTGATGTAGTTTGTCTGTATAAATAAGTAGTGTGTAAAAATGCTCGGCTGCCTAGTGAGATTTGAAACTTTTCTAAATGTTTGGGCAGATCTCAACTATTGCTCCTTGGCCAGATAACCTGAATGACTGAGGCTGTGGAACAAAGCAGATGTCAGAGTTCATTGGGATGAATATATACTATCTCTGGATGGAAGCAGTTGGGTAAGGATTAATAATTTAATCTCAATATTAATTCCCTTAAAGGATTCACATTGTCAGAGAGTGCTAAATACTTGGGTTTGGGCCCCCATAGGATAACTCTGAACAGGCTCTTAGAATTGCTAATAATTCCTGAAGAGTTCAGCCTGGATATTTCAGAAGTGCCATTCAGCTGCAGGTACAAGAGGAAGTGCAAAAGGAATTAGAAATAGTAGGAGACTAACAAGCTACTGCACATATTAAAAAAAAACCTCTCCCTTTTTTTTGTACTTATTATTTGATTGTAAGATTATGTTTGATTCTAATTAAACAAGCACCTCTCTTTGAAATTACTCTGTCACAAGGATAAGGCATATTGCTTAAGTTCCAGTCTCACCTGTACTCAGCAATACATGGGAACTTCAGACCTCTCTCACCTGTCTGTTATAAAGCTCCATGCCTTTCTAAAATTGGTAATAAAATTAGCATGTTGAACTGTACATTTCCTATGCACCAAACCAAGGCATATGTAATAATATAGTGAAAATCTCACCAATAAATGAATGTTTAATGTATTTTCTGGGCATCGAAATAACGTATCTTTTTTTATTACAGAACTGAAAAGAAATAGCACCATGTTTCAGTTTGTTATGTTTGTTAAGATATGAGGAAATAAAGAAAGTCAGATGGGAAATACTCTGAAGTATGCCATGGTTTCTGCTTCCCAGGGAAATTGTATGATACAGCTCCTGTAAGAAAATTCATTATATACACATTCCCCACTCAAACCAGTCCTTCTCAGTCATTACTGGCATGGAACAGGTTGCCCAGAGAAGCTGTGGCTGCCCCATCCCTGGAAGTGTCCAAGGCCAGGTTGGACAGGGCTTGGAGCAACCTGGGCTGGTGGAAGGTGTCCCTGCCCACGGCAGGGGGTGGGATGGGATGAGCTGGAAGGTCAGTGTGATCCCGCTCCCTTTATTTTTTCAACAAGGATCTGTGGGTTTGGTCTGTTTGTGGAGGTGTTGGTGGTGCAGGAAACAGCAGCAAACAGGAGCTGTGGCAGCAAACAGGAGTGTGGGCTCTCGGGGACGGGGCTGTGAGTGACCCTCTCACAGTGTTTCAGCAGCCTGGATTTAGTGTTCCAGAAAAGACCTGTCCAGGGATGCTGACACACGACTTCTCTGTATTGTGTGGGGGTGTTAATCCACATTGCCTAGGAAAATTGTGGCTGCTGCTTCCCTTTTGCCTTTTAGCACATTTAACACCCAGAGCTCAAGGAGCATTTAGACAGCTCTCAGGGGCAGGGTGGGATTGTTGGGGTGGGCTGGGCAGGGCCAGGAGCTGGACTTCAGGGATCTCTGTGGGTCCCTTCCAGCTCAGGATATTCTATGATTCTGTGATAACTAATTACACATATTCCTTTTCGATTAATGGAAAAGGCATTATCTCTGAAAGGAACAACAACAACAAAAAATCCTTGTTTTCCCTAAGCTGGGATTTTAGCTGGGAGTCATGGGAGCCAGGAGCCACGGGAGCCAGGAGCCACGGGAACCAGGAGTCACGGGAGCCAGGAGCCACGGGAGCCAGGAGCCACGGGAGCCAGGAGCCATGGGAACCAGGAGCCACGACTCACTCCCTTCTGCCTCCTCAGTGGCAACAGGGCTGCAGGGCTGCTCGTCCCTGTGGGCAGGAGCAGGTCCCAGCCCCAGCAGAATGTCACACAGGGCAGAGGTGCAGGGAGGGCTGTGATGGTGATTAAGGGCCCACGAGGGCAAAGCACAGCTGCTTTATGCTCACACCTGGCTTTGGTATTGCTTGGATGGAAACGGAGTCACCGGTCCCATTTAAATGAAACCCCAATAAATGAAATGGAATAAAGCCAGCTGTGGTGTGTCACACCACAGGGCATGGGCACCTCAGCCTGGCAGTGCTCACAGAGCCACGCTGGCAGGTTGATTCCTGGGATGGTGATGAGCTCTTTGGTTTGGCCATGTGTGGTTTCCCCACGAGGGAGATCTGGTGCAGGTCACACAGTGATAGGGGAGAGCTGATAAAAGAGCTTTGGGGTTTCCCTCACCAGGCTGACCCTGGCAAAGGCAAGAACAGCTTTCTCTGAACCTGCCCCATCAGTGACCTCGGACCTGATCAGAGGGACCACCCTCAGCTCTGGATGCGAGGTAAGTTAAATTACATGTTGCTGAATTGTCCTAATACTGCCAACATTTTGGGCAGAAGTTGTAACAATGATAAAAAAGCACCAGTGTAATGGATACCATCGTAACTCTGTAACTACAGTTTAGGTTTTGAAAATTACAAATATGTGTATAACTAAGGCTAACCAGAAAGTACTAGATGGTGCTTTAACTGTGGCCAGCTGTCTAGTAGTTAGAAATTAGAAAAAAAGTGGGATTTTTCTCTTCCAAAGTGGAAAAATTGTGTACATTTGTACCTATTGAGCTGGTGAGCATTTGTCCAGCTCTACCAGGAAGCATCAGATTATCTGTGGTATCAAGAGAGGACAAAGTAGTAGTTTGTAAAACAACTATACAGAGCATGAGGAAAAAGAGACTCTGTAGCCTTCAGCTTATGATGCACTTCATGTTTTATGGATTAGGGACTTCTTTCACAGCTGTTAAATCTCGTAGTTTATTTGTTTAGTCAGGCTCCATCAGTTAACAAATCATGTAAACTTTGCTTTCTTTAGTAACAGTGAGTTTCGTTTTGCCTTGAGTTACGTGTGAGACTGATTTCAGTGTTGTGTCTTCAGCTCGTGCGAACAGCTCCGTTCTCTCCAACTCATGTACCTGTGGCTGCTGAGCTCTCTGAATGTTTATGACTTTAATTCATTTTTACCCTGAGCAAGAGTTGCACCTGACACCGTATTCCACCTCCCCCTCCTTAATTTTCTCAGATGGGGAACAGCTGGGAACACAGACAGAGTGTTTCGGATGCCAGCGTCTGTCAGTCAAAGAGCAGTGAGATGTTCTGCCCCTGGGTTTGTGGAGCTGCTGGCCCCCTGGCAGACAGAGAGCAGAGAAGGTGGCCATGTGGGTGAAATGGGAGAAAGAGGCAGCAAAGCATCCAAGTGGGCATTAATGCAGTCTGAGAACACAGGGGCTTCCCCGAGCCCCTTTCCAGGAAAAGGTTACACTGAAATCACTGCTGGCTCAGGCCTGACTTTGGTTTTGGTGTCTGGCCAAGCACAGTTACCTGGTGGGTGTGGGTGGCTAAAAGATTGCTCTCATTGAAGGGGATTGACAAAATGAGATGTTCCCCCCCCCCCCAAACCCACAAGATTTCCCATATCTGCAGAACTGCTCACTGAGACAGGGCTAGAGGGGAGCTACACCAGAGCTAGAGATGGGCTTGCCTGGGCAGGGGCCTGGGACTCTGAACAGGCACAAGGGTCAGCTGAGGTGGGATCTGGGGATCGAGCCCTGCTCTGTTCTGCAGCTGGTGAGTGTTACATGGCACTGAACTCACACTCAAATAAGGAGCACTTGGGTAAGTGCGGCGCTGGCTCTGCCTCAGAAATAACTGCACAGCATCCACCTCTGAAGTTACACTGCATCCTGGCTTCTCTTCCAGTTGTGGTTCATGGCCTGAATTTACTTTCCTGGAGTCCATGGAGCACTGCCATTAGTTTTGACCTGATAATTTCACTAATGACTTGGCATCTTTTGCTGTCTCTCTCCCCATCCTCTGTTTTCTTTTCAATCCTTCTACAATGGTAGATGAATTAGATCCCTCATAACACATCAAACTTATTTTTTATTTACCAAAAATGAAACTCTTGATGTGGAGGAACCCAACAAATATTTGACAGGCTCTGTGAATCTGAAACTATTTTCCACATGGCCAGATTCCTGAAAATCTAGAGATGCCGACTGACATTGTCATAGGAGTCAAGACAGATTAGCTATCTGTGGTATTTAGGTATGTCAATGCTTTTTATTATCTAGTCCTTAATCTCCTCAAAATTTGGCTGTATAACAAAAAAGAAAGTATGTGCTAAGGTATTTATAGAAGTAATTTCTTTAAATGCTACCCTTCCCTGACTAGAATAAAATATATTGGACTTACTAGAAAGTGATGTTGTGCTTTCCCTCTGCCCACCCTTAAATTTAAACCACAGATTATGTATGTGAAACTTGCAGCAAATGGGACTGAGGAATAGAAATGCTGATATTCTATAAGATTCCAAGGCAATATGATTCAAATAAATATAAAGGACCTACAGAGCAGAGCCAACAGTCACTTGTTTAAACAGTGGAAGAAGGTCACTGATGAAGGACTTGCACCCTCTCCACTCGGGTCTGTGGTCAGTAAATCCCGTCTGGAAGGTGCTCCTGCCCCTTCCCCTGTCACACAGACCATCAGCACCCTGGCTCCTTGGCTCTGTGCTCCAGGGACAGCACTGCCCTGGGCTGAGTTTTCCTGAGCATTTCCCAGGTATCTGCTCAAGCTCCGTGGCCTGAGGCGGAGCTGAACCTCGGTCTGCCCCACAGCCCTGGTGTTTGCTGCTGCCCCTGGGCTCCTGAGCTGCCCCAGCACGGTAGGATGTGGGTGTGTGAAGAGGCTGGAGATGTGAGGCAGCTTTAGGAGTCTTGGTCCAGCCAAATTTCTCTAAAGAGAAATTTATCTTGCACACAAAACGTAGCTGACAGCAGAGTTTTCCCTAAACCAAGATAGGGAAGAATCCTAAAGTCAAAGCAATTCAAGGAACAAAGCTCCCCTTTCTCCTCCAAGGAGTTTAACCCACAGGCCAGTAGATTCAGTTGACAGAAGGATTGGAAAATCTGATACATGCAGACAGATGCAGACATGTATAAGACACATAAAGTAGTTAC